TTGAGAAGGCATGGAATTGTCACAGATAATCGCTCTTTAATATATTTCTCAGGTTTAGAGAATATTTCGCACATTCACTTGACTTCGACACAAAATCATTATCATTAATAATTGATGATTTTTATTATTGATTAGTATTAAGAAATATCATAACATGAGTTCACCTTTGTCGCAATGGTAACGACTTTACATCACATTTACCATAATATACTCTACCAGCTACGACGTAATCTGTATCAGGTACTAGGCATCATCATCTCTCTACATGCAAAAACTATCTAGAGTATTTATCCCAAAGGTTTCAGTTTTATTTGCTTTATTTCAGCCTACGATGTAAGTCAAGAAAAAATAATTAGTTATTTTCCTCTGTATTGACTGAAATAAAACCAAATCAAAATAAAGCCGTCGGCATTAGAACTACGCATATTGTTCGACAAGGTTTCGTTTGTAAACAGCGATTCTTTAATGCATTAATTCTTCTACGTTTTTTCGTGTTATTCCTCGCAAATGGCTTCTCTACATGCAAAAACTATATAGAGTATTTATCCCAAAGGCATCAGTTTCATTTGTTTTATTTTAGCCTATGATATAGGCCAAGGGAAAATAATGATTTATTTTCTTTTAAAAAAAAAAAATCTAAATAAAGCCTTCGTTAGAACTATGCATGTTGTTCGACAAGGTTTCGTTTGTAAACACCGATTCTTTAATGTACTTATTCTTCTTCGTTTTTTCTTGTTATTCATGGCAAATGGCGTCAAAAGATGCCAAATCGGTTATCAATAAGCTGGATTGGTACATTAAAGAAAGAAAGAAGAAGGGGAAAAAAAGAGAAAGAAAGAATGCGGTGCGCGAGGAAATAACTATCATCTAAACTAACATTATCTTATTCTACATGTTGTGTAATCCAATATAAGAATCGTTCTCAAATCCGTGCAAAAAGAGTTTTCTTATTTATTTAAATCGGAAGGCGTAATGTGCTCGGGAAAAAAAGGGAAGAAACATAGCAAACTCTTTCCACAGTGCGACGAACATTTGTTTTTCTCGGTTCCAGGTGCACGCAACCACTAACCCCACGTAATGCGCATGCTCTCTGTTACGAATTTTCAAAATGGCGGACAAGCCAAAGAAAGAAAAAAACAAAGCGATTTTACAAAATACTCAACATAAACCCTCGTTAGAAAAGCGAATCCACGGAGGAAAGATACAAAACTGTATGATACTGAGATCGATATGATATTAAATCGATACCGAAAGCCCGTTTCCAACTTGCTAAGAAGCGCATTTAATTGCCTTCCGCCACGATCACTAGCTTTCTTGACAGCCTTCTGAAGACAGAATACTTTCTTTCTGAAGACTTCTAATGTGCGGCTATTGATTATTACACCTCGTATACCTGATTGCTCAAACACTTTGTTTACGATTGTTGGAAGGACCGACTCATGGTTCTCCGTCTTCGTCTTTACATTGCTTTGAAACAGTATAGATTAGTAAGCTGAAACGAAAAACTAATCAGGGATGTTTACGAAAAATCCAGCAAACAAGCTTAAAAAGGCATTTATTTAGACTTCGTACTTCAACGAACTTCACAAATCTTACTTGTTTATCTTGTAAGTAAACGATGGCAGACTAATTCCCGAAGCGCTTTCTGAGTTTCCCGATCCCTCTCCTACTGCTTTCACGCTTACAAAACAGGAAAAAAATCAAAAGGAGGAAGATACAGCTGTTTTGAAACGCCATTTGACGAGGGTAAATCTGCTTTTTGTTCGACACTTTACATATCAAAACAAAGGAAATTTGTTCGTCTTTTTTGATTCTGGCGGTACATTTTTAATTTGCACCTGCGTAAAAGAGATATCGCCCGAGACCCTTCGCTCGGTCGTGTTTTGATCAAAAACGCCTTGTTGATTTCGCGCAACCGCTCGGAGAAAAGGTAAAAATGACGAGGGAAAAACTTCAAGTTAGAAAATTAGCGAAATAGAAAGCCACAATATTATAGTTTAATATTTCAGAGGTACATTGAGTGCTTTTTCGGTAGAGAATCCGCATAATGGTAAAACATTCGAAAATTACACTCGATTTGAGTGGGGTGTTGAAGTGGGCGTGGTCACTACATTCATTGTAAGACTATTTGTACCCCATGAGTTTGATATGAAAACAGCGACACTGTAAGTTAAAATTAGCAATAAATGCCGCCGCTGTTTTCTGTTTCTTTAAGAATTGCTTCGCTCTGTGATTGGTCCAGAAAATTTCGACAGTGACTAACGCCTTTCTCTCAAATAATCAATTGCAAAACACAAACCACTCGTATGGTCGCCCGCGCTTCCTGCGTGTGGGCCTGTTTGTTGTACTCTGAGCACTCTTTGATCTGGAGTGGGCCATTCTCATTACTCGAAACTTCGAAACTGACTCCACAAACATAAAAACCCATTGACATTGTTTTACGCTCTGCCGAGCATCCCAAATTATTGAAATTACTACCACAGCGGCTGGCATTTGTTGTAAGTGTAATTAACATGAAAGCGATCCTAGCAGTTATGAGCGCTATTTTAGTGGTAGTGAAAATAAGGCCTGCAGAAAATTTAGGTCCTTACGGGATTTGAACCCATAACCTCTGCGTTACCGTAGAGCGCTGTACCGGTATTGCAGTGGTCATGGGTTGAAATCCCGTACGGGCCTGAATTTTTTTTTAGATCTTATTTTCACTACCACTTAAATAGTGTTCGTAACTGCGAGGATCGCTTCCACATTCGTCTCTTCAACCGCAGTTCACGTACATGATTTTCATCTATTTACAGTCATGAATGCATTCGTTTTCTTCCTGCGTGTAATGAATCTTCCGAATTGAGTACTACTCCCATAATTCGACCGAATTAAACCGATAAAATATTCATGATACTGTGGACTTAAAAACACTTTTTTGTCCTCCAGCGCTGCAGGGGTACAGAATTTAGATTCGAATCTGGTATGGTAATTGGCCGTGATAGCCTTTCATGTCTGAAAATATAATCACCATATATAATTTAGCATCTTTTGAAACAATTTTCGTGGGATCACACACATGTTATCGTATCGGCCCATCGAAGAATCATTGTTTAACTTCGCAACCATTTCGAACCAAATAATTATTAAATTTCCAAAATATAGGATGAAATGAAACAAATCAGGCCAGAGCGATCGGGAGTAAAACTGAGCATATTTTGGGCATGTTGAGATGGTGATACTTCGAGCCTGATGAAACTGATGTTTAGAATTGTTTTAATACTATTGATTTCATATTTTGGCTACTTAAACGAATTTAATTCTATAGCATTATCGAGAAGAGTAATTTTTTTGACAGAGTCAAGCTATCGTGAAAAATATATACAAACTAACATATACATAAAAATATACATTTTGATTATTTTTGAAAGTTCCTTGTCATTCTTAGTCATGTCTCTACGGATTTATGAATGGTTTGTAGTTATAGAAGGTTCTGAACTGTAAGTTCGAGCACGCCTACAGCTGCTATTGTTATCTCTTGATAACGATCAACAGAACTGTATATTGCAGACATTATAAATTAAGTCTAAGCAACAGATCCCACTGATTCCATACGACTGCATTTTTTTCAGTTCTTTTTATTTGTTTCTTCAACAAAAACATGATAAGATCGCGCTGCAATATCCATTATTACTTGGCGCAGGGTGAAGGTGACAATGTATGTTACAAGCGTACCATCATTGTGATCTTCAGAACTGTTATATTGATTTGTAAATTTCTATCAATAAGCTAATTCTTACATTATCTGAAATACCCTTACGTTCTCGTCTTTTGGGAGCAAGTACATCTTTTATTGTGATGTTTTTCACCTTTCAATATACACACTATTCATCTTGCCACCCGCCAGGTGTTAAGAAAGGCTTTATTAAAGGAGAAGCTATCAGAGTCAGAGCGAAGCTTTAATTAAAGGCTTTTGCGTCGCAAACGTAAAACCACACAGGGGAGTCTGTGTAGGCCTGTCTATGGCCTTTTCAATCGCTAAGAAAAACATTTCAAATGCTAGGTACCCAAGACCATGAAATTTATCTTTAAATAGTCTTGGGGTAGCCTTGTGTTACTAACTTTCATTCTAGCATATATTTTGACGTACTTACAGCGGCGCAAAATAAATTCGTTTTCCAAATACGCATTCCTTTTCTGGGTCAATATCACTATACAAAAAAAACAGCTAAAAATGACCAACTGAAATTTGACTACTTCCAATTGCAGAAAACAATCATGGACGTGGGTTTTTATGTTGAAATAGTTTTGATGGGACTCACGTTACTGAATTATTTTCAAATACATACACCATAGTTTCCATAGTTTGCTATACAAAATATTTTTTTTTTCAAATGAAAATTAAAACTAGTATTTTCCCTTCACCGGAAGTGTAAATGATGAAACTGAGCAAAAGTGATGAACCTGACGATTTAAAAAGGACTTTAAAATGAACTATTAAATAATTATTTGCTACGAGGATATTCTTTCTTCGAGGAAAAGATAGTTTGATTCATCATTTTTCCTTCTTAAAATATTCAACAAACGATCAAAAAGTTATTTTTTACAGAGTTCCTCGTCTTTTCCGCAAACTGATCGCCAGCAAGTAAGACTGCAAACGGAGAGGGTGGAGAGGCGAATTTTAAAATGAAACAAAAGGTTTTTCTTCGACTGCTCAAGTGGGAATTTTCTCCAAAAAAAATATTGGACAGGTTGATAATTATTATACTATTTTTTCCCGAAATTTCGAAGCTGTAAGTCTGTCCTGGCTAAATGTTTTGCAAGATAATCTATCACAAGTTTACTAAGTACGTTTTTATTTAGATATTTGTTTGTTGGCATTATTATCATTTGGACTTCACCAGCTGTGCCCTTCTCCTTTTAGATTTTCAGACACTCCTTCCAGTTAAATCCAATATTTTTTTTTCCATGAGAACGCCCGCCTTCTTCTCCGCAGGTATCACAGATCTGATGTACTTCATATGGCTAGTCGACAGGCTTCATTTTTTACTGAACTGTTTTTCATTTCTCAAATGTTCCTTAACATTGCCACTCAGCAGTGTGGAACTGGCGGCGACCTTTACTCGATTTATCAAATGATGCTCAAGGGCCACACCTATAAGACGTTCAAGTTTACACCAGGTACGCTGGAATGCAGAGAGGCTTGCCTCGCTGATGACAGGTGTCAAAGCTATAATGTGGTCATGTTCATTGCAATGTGTGAGTTAAACAACCGGACTAAAGAGGCCAGACCAGAGGACTTTGTCAGGAACGAAGACAGATATTACATGGCAAAAGATCTAAAAGGAGGTAATTGAACTTGTAAATAAAAACAGCAGGGCGTGCTAACGTTCATGGATTTTGCGTAACTAGCTTCTGATGTTGCTAACTTTCATTCCGCTAAAGTGTAATATTTCAATTTCAGTTTCCTTGGGATCAATTAGCAACAATGAGCTCCATAAGTTTCAGTTTTTGAGAAATCGGCACAGCAATATCTTAAATTTGCGAAGTTAGGGAAGGAGTAGATGTATCACTCACCGATTGGAAATTGACCATTGTGTTTAATGGGTAAATGCACTTTTTCTTCAAAAACTAGGAGTTTTCGACGCTTGGTATTTTTCGGAAATTAACCGAGTCACGGTATTTTTTTCTTGTAACTCGAACGCTAGGTACAAGAGCCACCTGGCTATGGTTTTTACGAGAGGAAAATATACTTTTGATGTGGAATGCAGATGAATAATGTCATACGGCCGGATTTTTGGCATAAATCCCCTCTCAGAGGATCACCCATAATTTCATCGTAATCACGAAGATCATCATTATTTGAAGATTGCCGGTTGAATGCCAAAATAAACCAAATGTAAATAGTTTCGTCAAAACTGAAATTCTCACGAATTTTATCAAACTTACGCTTTTCCATGGTAACGGATTGAACATACAATTGGCCATACATAATTTCAATGACAAATTTTTCAGATATCGATACAACAATATCGTACATTATGAATTTATGAAATGGGTGGGCGTGCAGTCCACCAAGAGGTGACCATTGTGCTTGCTTGGTGAATGAATCAAAAGAAGGCCAAAAGTGAAAGGGATAACGCCCTTTTACCTCACAACGAGGAGTTTGTAAACTATGTTTTTCAACCATCGCAACTTGATCGGGGCTCAAATTCCACACTAGTCAAATCATATTTTTCTACATTGGGAAGCAAAGAAATAAATGCAGGTAAATATAAGCCTTACTGTTTGATTCATTTTACTTTTATCCAGAATGTGGGCCTGTTGGTGTGGCAGACAAAAATGCAATCTCAGATGCCAGAATGACTGCAAGCACATTCTATAATGAACTAAATAAGCCGCAATATGGCCGACTTCATGAAAGCAGGGGGAAAGGAGCATGGTGTCCTGCGACTAAAACTAACAGAACAGACTATCTTCAAGTTGATATGGGTACAATGCTGTCTGTTTGTGCTGTGGCTTCCCAAGGAAAAGAGACACACTTTCAATGGACCACCAGCTACACACTATACCTATCCACAGACGGTGTAGTTTGGAACGCTGACAAGGAAACCAGCACTGCAAAGGTTTGATTGGCAACTATTAGTAATGATTATAGGACCGCCAAGAGTTACAACAGCGACTTACAAAATTGCACCACTGGAAGTAAAAGTGTGATTTGTTGCTATTCACGAGTATGATTACTGATTTGTGACCAATCTACCAGAACCATTGTCAAGTTAAAGATACAAAATAGCCATCAGAAAACGCATTCAGTTCACTTTATTTTAAGGGAAAAAGGACCCAATAGTCCGCTGATAACCATCACGATTTCGAGATCTTTGCCAATATGTTGAGTCAAGCCAAATAGACCGCACTTGCCAACATTATGCTCTCTCCAAGTGATAAACTGAGGAGTGACGTTAACAGAGTGAATTAGCGAAGTGGTTTAATTCCAAAGTTTTAAGCAGCTCTTTAGCTTGTATTTCTTTCACTATTAAGCTTTTGCAATTATCTTCAGATTTTTATTGCGACAAGATTTAAGACAAAGGTTACAGTTCTATCATAGATTATTCATAAAGAGGTCCCCGTCTAAAGCTACCTAGATACCTTAACTACAACATAAGTTTCCTGGCCAGCACTTGATGTAAGTTAGATCGGCTTCCACACCTAAACCTTTCCATAAAAAATTTCCCTTTAAACTTGCATGATGTGTTGCCGAACTACACTATTTTCTCGTCATGATGTATGCATTTTCTCCTCTTCCAGGTTTTCCCAGGAAACTCAGACCGACACAGCGTCGTAAAGCATTTCCTCACCACTGACATTATGGCCAGATACGTTCGGTTTTATCCCGTCACCTACCACACATTTCCTTGTCTGAGAGTTGAAATATTTGTGCGAAAATGATGGCAATTATCAATTTTCTTTCTTTTTTGCAAAATTTAAATGTAGAAAAATAGTGGGAACTGTCGATGCTAAAGCCAAGCCTGTCAATATTCAGTGTATTCAATATTCAACAGAACACGTCAGAAACGAGGCCTTGTTTTCCATTTAAACTAAAATGCGAGTTAAAGGTCATGAGTTACAATAAGAAATAAAATCGTTTGTCTCACGACTAAGTAACTTCAGAAGTTGATATTCTTCTTCGGGCGAGGAGATAAACGATTATACTTCATAGAAAGAGTATGTTGACCACGATGACAAACCGTAACCTTTTTAACGATATTCACAGGGTAATGAAGTCTAACAAGGATCAAAGATCCAATTTACTTCATATATCGTTAAAAAAATAAAATACACGTGTGCTTTTCTATCACGAAATATTTTCAAGTGCGAAGAGTTGTCTTCTGATCGTCGTCTGGAATTTTAAGACATAGAAATATGTACAAGTAGAATGTTGACAAAAAAAAAAATAGAGACACGTTAGTCACCCCTCGTTACAAGTAGGTGATATGAGGCATAGCCTACTCTTCAAAAGTCCATTTGTTTTCGATGTATAATTTTTAGAACTATTGAATTTACTCTTAGAAATGATTGTCAATCTAATGCCAATACAAAACCTATTGGAGGTACAGCTGTATACAGCCGAATCCAAATCAAACGTGGTCAGATTTGTTGTTTCGTAAGGAATGGGCTATTGATGAACTGTTGCGATACAGAAACTTATTATCTTCTCAGGGGTCTTAGCTTTGTCAATCAATACATAAACTATACAAAGTAAGCAATGTTCCTGTCTCCGAGCCCCTCCGTCGTAGCCAAACAAAATATTAGCAATTATATCAAAGTTTGTTTATCTTCTATTAAGATCTTTCCCTGGAATAACTTTGCTGTATGAAGTACAATACTAAAAATCATACAAGCTAAATAAAAAAAAAAACAAAACATCGAACTACCCTTAGCATCTGACTTAATAGAAAGAGACGATTTTAGATGAATAAAATTGAATCCTGATGTCTCATTTCAAATAACACTTGAGTATAGTATAAAATACTCCTATCACATAAGTCCTGCATGAACATGTGACTTTGACTTGGCGAAAAGCGCACGTTCCTCAGTCTCTCGGACAAGCTTAAGGAAGCTTAGAAAACCAATTATTGTGATTTTCATCATTTTGTAATCTCATTTCTCGGCACGTGTATTATTATTTTTATTTTGCCAATTTGTATAGAATATTCGGGGGATTTTCGACGGATTTATGACAGATTTATGAATGTTCTGTAATGTTATAGAGGGTTCTGGACTGTAAGTTCGAGCACGTCTATAGCTATTATTGATATCTCTCGATAACGATCAACAGAACTGTATGTTGTGATCGCGCCGCATTACCCATTGTTTCTTGGCGCAGGGTGAAGGTGACAATGTATGTTGCAAGCGTATCATCACCTTGATCTTCAGAACCGTTATTTTGATTTGTACCTTTCAGACAAGAAGCTACTTCTGGCATTATCTCTAATACCCTTGAGTGCACGTCTTTTAGGGGCAAGTACATCTTTTATTGTGACGTTTTTATCATAACTCATAAAATTTCGATCTCCTTACCAACCGATGAGAGAAAGAATTTTATTCCACGGGGTACAAATAAACCAATTACATGGCGTTTCATCAAATCACCATCTTGGATACTATACTTGGTTTATTTTTACACCTGGTACAAAATATTCTCTCTTTGATTGGTTGTGTATCATAGTGCACCCCTTCCATCCTACTAATGATACATAAATATTGCAAGATTTTCGATCACAATTTCATAGAAGGTATTTTTTGTGAAACAAGGATCATAAGTTTATTCTAAAAAAACATTCTAAATATATAATAAGTACCTAAGACGATGCACGAAATTTATCCTTAAAAAGTTTTTGGGTAGCGCTGTGTTACTCACTTTTATTCTAGCATATATTTTTTACGTACTTACGGTGGTGCAAAATTAATTCGTTTCCCAAATACGCATTCTTTTTCTGGGTCAATGTAACTAAATAAAGAAAAACAATTAAAACTAACCGACTGAAATTCGACTACTTCCAGAGGAAGAGAACAATCACGCACGGGGATTTTTATGTTTAAATAGTTTTAATGGGACTGAGGAAGTTTGACGTTACTGATTTTATTTTCAAACACATACACTATATTGAGCAGCGACTGACTTCCGCTCATGCAAAATGCAGGTGTTCTGAAGCGAATATTTTTTTTCCCTGTGAAAACGTAATTTAAAAAAAAACCTTCGCGACTATCGTTTTAAATTTTCCCCAACAGTTTCTCTCATCGAAAAGCTGACACCAAGATCTAATGAATCGACTTTACAAGATTTATTTCTATTCGATTAGAGGTGAAGCCGTTAAAAATACTAATGAACAGATAACAATGACAGCTGGACACAAGCTCCACGCATATAGATATGCTAAATAATCTAGAGCACGAAATTTATAAAGCATGTTTATAAAGTAGTCGTAGCATGATTAAGAAAGCATGGAATTTTCAGAGATATTCGCTGTTGAATATACTTCTCAGGGTTAAAGAATCTTTCGCACATTCACTCATTCACTCATTTTCGGCCCAAAATCATTATCATTAATAATTGATGATTTTTATTATTGATTCTTATTAGGAGATACCATAACATTAGTTCACCTTTGTGTCACCACTGTAACGTCCTTGCATCGTATTTACCATATTATATGCTACCAACTACAACGTAATCTGTATCAGGTACTAAGCATCATCATCATCTCTACATGCCAAAACTGTGTAGTGTATTACCCCAAAGGCTTCAGTTTCATTTGTTTCATTTTAGCCTATGATATAGGTCAAGAGAAAATAATATAGGATTACCATAGAAACAATAAAAATGAGTCGAATTTCCCTTAACTTTAGCTTTTTGTGACTGAGACTCCAAAACAAACAGGTCAAGGGGGTTAAAAGAAACTATGATTATCCCAACGGGTCTCAGAGCTGTGTTGTGAAATACAAACAGGAAGAAACTGCTTCAGCTTAAAATATCTCGAGTTAATAGCAAGGGCGCGGATATCAGTATCAAAATTTAAAGAATAGAGAATTAGATGTCGGCAACATGTAAAGTTTATTTTGTTTCTTAAGCTGATAGTTTTGATATATAATTTTGAAAACTTTTGAATGAAACCTGCAGAACAGCTTTACGGGCTGTTAAGTTAAGGGCAGTTTCACGAAACCGGTCCCTAATGTAGTAATTATCCAAAACGCAAACAGGTGATTCAATCGAGATAAAGACAATAATAAGCTTGCTATATTTTGGCACGAGTATATATCTCCTTATCTGCAGTTGCCTCGGGATGAAGAAATGCGGTAAATGAACAGTTAAAATGAAATGTAAACTCCGATTCTTAAATGTGTTGATTCTTCAACGCTTTTTCGTGTTATTCCGCGGAAATGGCTGCAAAAGATGCCCAATTATGTAGTGGTTATCAAAAAAACCTAAACAGGTGATTCAATCGAATGAAAGACTACAATAAGCTTGCTAAATTTTGGCACGGATCAATATCTCCTTATTTTTCGTTGTCACGGGATGAAGAAATGCTGCAATTAAACTGTTCAAATGGCTATGGATCTGGATGACGCATGCTACCAACCTTTTTACTAAAGTAAAACACGACATTGTATAGCTTTAAAAAACATTGGAAAGTTTCTGATCTCACAAATAACAACCCCTGCAGGGATAGGCAAGGGCTATTCATCTGCCAGAGGCTAATGCGTGGTGTAATTTATAATTCCCTCGAAACATCATCTCAACTTCAGTTAACCGTTGGCAACCTGCGGTAGTGCTTCACACCTCAGAAGAAAACTTATTAGAGTCAGCTTAAGAAATAACGGGCACTGCTTACCAGGTAGGGACATACATTTTTCGAATCTTAGTTTAAGAAATACCATTTCAGAAAATGCGAGAACAAACTATGTCAGAAAAAGTAACATAGAAGCGCGCGCCCTCATAGTGGTAGTGGACTATCGTTCTTTCCTGCAGAACGTTTTATACGCCCTGAAATTGGGAAAAAAAAGCTGCCTTTTGATTAAGATTCTTAACAGAAATTTCAATGCAGAAATAATCGAACCTTACCGACTCGCGAAGCAAAATTTCCCACAATTAGCAGTGGATATAAAGATTATTCCGTAGATATATATGTTATTTTCCGGCTGGGAGGTCCGTATGGTGAAAAACTGTGACCGAGGTCTTGAAAATGCTGCATTTTCAAGACCAAGGTCATAGTTTTTCGCCATACGGACCGACCCTTAGCCGGTAAATAACATTTTTTTTTTTTTTTTAACTTAACGAAATACATTCTGAAAGAACCCGAATGATTTACGGCTATAAATGCGGCAAGATCTTCCATAAACTGAACAGTTTTTGAGCGAGTAAATGGTGGTCGAAGTAAAGGTGATACAAATTAAAGAGAGATGCCTCACCGAAACATTTTCACTTGCGTAATGATAAAGGTGATTTAAAAGGCTTCCAAACAAAGTATGAAACATTATTTTTACGAGTATCTGTCACAATCTGACACCTGTCAATTAGAGAGCGCGTAAGAAAAAAAAAAGCGCAAGAAAATTTGAAAAACAACAGAACTAGTTTGGCAAGGACTGTCACGACAGTGTTTTCTTCAAAAACAGTCGATGATATAACGGAAATCATTATTCACTCTCATCGACGATTCATTCATGTACGAAGATTTACCTCTGTTCATTAAGTAAACGGCCAGGAAAGTAATTGTGAGTAAGTTCAAATTTTTTATTTTGAAGTTGTGAGAGTTTTCTCGTTGTTTGCTGCAACGGCGTGTGTAAATCTTGTCTTTCCTCCACAAAAACTAAATTCAAACGGCACACTCCAACGAGATACAAGGGAATGTAATGCGGCCTTTTCTCTAAAAATTCCTTCAATTTCTGTTGTGCAATTTATGGCCCAAATGTCCAAATTGAACGGACTTGGAAAGACTCACCGAGAGCGTATATTTATTGTCGAACTAAAATTAAAACTTCGCTCGCTCTTTCACTACGAACAAATTGTTTGAGAAAATTCAGATATTAAATGAGTGAAAGTTCCATTGTTCAGTTTACCTGTAACCAAATACCTCACGTTTTAACTTTCTAGGTACTTTTTGTGAACGATTAAAATCAATTGCAGACGGTTTTTAGGCCGCTTGTCAACTAACGTAACGACACTATTGCTTATACAAATTCATTCTGAAACCAATATTTTTTTGTCAACCAAAGTGATTTGAGAGAGAGAAAAGAGAGGATTCATAAGTTATTCGTCGGCTTGAGATAGTGACCGATGTGTTTGCTTAAAAATACTACCCAGCCGGCAAAACGAGTTATATTTATGAAAAATGGCAACGAAAGTTGAGATGTACTCGGCGACTCACGAAAGCATTACCGTGGCCCGTGGGCAGAGACAGGAAAATACTGACCGGGTTGGAAACCAATCAGATTGCAAGATTCGTTACCGTGCCCTCTCAAAAAAAAAAATATATATGTTATTTGCCGGCTGGGAGGTCCGTATGGTGAAAAACTGTGACCGAGGTCTTGAAAATACTGCCCGAGGCCGTAGGCCGAGGGCAGCATTTTCAAGACCGAGGTCACAGTTCTTCACCATACGGACCGACCCTTAGCCGGTAAATAACATATTTATTGTTTTTAAACTTGACGAAATTCTTTCCGAAAGAACCCGAATAATTTATAACTGTAAATACGGCAAGATCTTCCATAAACTGAACAATCTTGATTGAGTAAATGGTAGTTAAAATAGAGGTGATGCAAATTAAAGAGAGATGCCTCAGCGAAACATTTTCATTTCCGTAACGATAAAGGTGATTTAAAAGGCTTCCAAACAAACTTTGAAACATTATTTTTACAAGTATCTGTCACAATCTGACACCTGTCAATTAGAGAGCGCGCAAGAAAAAAAAAGCGTAGGAACATTTGAAAACCAACAGAACTAGTTTGGTAAGGACTGTCACGACAATGTTTTCTTCAAAATCAGTCAATGATCTAACGGAAAGTATTATTCACTCTCATCGACCATTCATTCATTTATGTACGAAGATTTACCTCTGCTCATTAAGTAGACGGCGAGGAAAGTAATTGTGAGTAAATTCAATTTTTTAGTCTTTTTTAGTCCGTTTAGTCTTTTTTTGAGGTGTGATGCTCTATTGCCAAAAGTAGACTGCTAATGACCAACTAAAACTAAAGGATGAAAGTATGTTAAGAGAGAGTAATCTCTCGGAGGGAGTCATATCAATCCACGGACAGCCACTAAGCAGATAATTAGCAACTGTCTTTCCCCACAGGGGTATATCGCTGTTTGAACAGTAGGATGTTATTGGAAAAAAATTTAGACCAAATTGTGGATATTAATCGTGCAAGCGCTCTTCCCATGTAATAATCTCTATATATTTTTTCGAACTTTCGAGGCTATGAGTCAGTCCTGGCTTAATGTTGTGTAAGAGATCATCTCTCGCATATTTACCAAGTACGTTTTCATTTAGATATTTGTTTGTTGGCATTATTATCATTTGGACTTCAACAGCTGTGCCCTTCTCCTTTTAGATTTTCAAACACTCCTCCCAATTAAGAGCGCGTGTCTGTAAAAATCAGACAAATTCTAAATTTCGCGGCAAGGGTGAAAAATTCGATTTCTTTGTTATTTTAATATTAGATAGGCTAGACTATAACTAAAATCACTGGATACTTTTTTTGGCAAAATATCTTTTTATTTCAGAGAAAATACAAATAACAAAATTCCGTTAAAATCGTCATTTTTAGAAGCAAATTATTGCACAAGTTTGAGGGCTTCGCATTCAAAAACGAATTACAATCTCGTCTTTTTAACACTCAAATCTTCTTTCTCAACCTCATAAGACCTCACAAAAGGATTTTTGTATACACTGCGTTCCTCTTTGCGTGTAAAATAATTTAATTTCGAAAGCATACATTTCTCTTCAGCAGATGACGATTTTAACGGAATTTCGTTATTCGTATTTTTCTCTGAATTAAAAAGATATTTTGCCAAAAAAAGTATCCAGTGATTTTAATTAAAGCCTAGCCTATCTAACATTAAAATAAGAAAGAAATCGAATTTTCCACCCTTGCCGCGATATGTTTGATGTTTACAGAGAAGCGCTCTTAAATCCAACATTTTTTCCATGAGAACACTCGCCTTCTTCTCCGCAGGTATCACAGATCTGATGTGCTTCATATGGCTGGTCGACAGGCTTCATTTTTTTACTGAACTGTTTTTCATTTCGCAAATGTTCCTTTACATTCCCACTCAGCAGTGTGGAACTGGCGGCGATCTATACTCGATTTATCAAATGATGCTTAAAGGCCACACCTATAAGACGTTCAACTTTACACCAGGTACGCTGGAATGCAGAGAGGCTTGCCTCGCTGATGACAGATGTAAAAGCTATAACGTGGTCATGTTCATTGCAATGTGTGAATTAAACAACCGGACTAAAGAGGCCAGACCAGAGGACTTTGTCAAGAACGAGGACAGATATTACATGGCAAAAGGTCCAAAAGGAGGTAATTGAACTTGTAAATAAAAACAGCAGTGTGTGCTAACGTTCATGGATTTTGAGTAACTAGCTTCTGATGTTGCTAAGTTTCATTGCCATAAAGTGTAATATTTCAATTTCAGTTCCCCCGGGATCAATTAGCTACCATTAGCTCCATAAGTTTCAGTTTTTGAGAAATCGGCATAGCGATGTCTTAAATTTGTGAAGTTAGGGAAGTAGTAGATGTATCACTCACCGACTGGAAATTGACCGTTGTGTTTGGTGGGTAAATGCACTTTTTCTTCAAAAACTAGGAGTTTTTGACGCTTGGTATTTTTCAGAAATTAACCAAGTCACGGCATTTTTTTTTTTGTAACTCGAATGTTAGGTCGAAGAGCTACCTGGCAATTGTTTTTTCGAGAGGGAAGTATACTTTTGACGAAAAATACAACAGTGTCGTATGATCTGATTTTGGCATCAATCATCTCTCAAAGGATCACCCATGATTTCCTTGTGATCACAAAGATCATCATCAATTTGGAAGATTGGTTTTCGACCGTTTTTCTATCCCCCAAACTCAACCTTGATTTTGAAAAAATGCCGAAATAAACCAACTACAAATAATTTCGTCAGAACTGAAATTTCCACGATTTTTATGTCAACTCTTTTCCATGATAAAAGATGTGTCCACAGACATACAATTGGCCACAGATAATTCGAATGGCAAGTTTTTGAGACATCGATACATCGGTATCTTACATTTGTGAATTTATGAAATGGGTGGACGTTCAAATCAGCAAGAGGTGACTATTGTGCTTGCTTGGTAAATGAATCAAAAGGAGGCCAAAAATGAAAGGGAAAACGCCCTTTTGCCTCACAGCGTGAAGTTTGTAAACCATGTTTTTCAACCATTGCAGTTTGATCCGGGCTCAAAGTCCACACTATTCAAATTATATTGTTCTACATTGGGAAGCAAAGAAATAAATGCAGGTGTATATAAGCCTTACTGTTTGATTCATTTTACTTTTATCTAGAACGTGGGCCTGTTGGTGTGACAGACAGAAATGCAATCTCAGATGCCAGAATGACAGCAAGCACTGTCTTTGATACAAGATTTTATCCGTACTATGGCCGACTTCATGAAAACAGAGGATATGGAGGATGGTGTCCCAGGACTGTATCTGACAGAACAGACTATCTTCAAGTCGATATGGGTACAATGCTGTCTGTTTGTGCTGTGGCCACCCAAGGCGAAAGGATAAACAATGAATGGACTACCAGCTACAAACTGCAACTATCCACAGACGGTGTAACCTGGAACGTTTTCGAGGAAATCAACACCGCAAAGGTTTGATCGGCAACTATTAGTAATGATTATAGGACCACAAAGAGTCCAACTCAGTGGGTTACAAAAGCGACTTTCAAAATTCCACCGCTGCAAGCAGGAGTGTGATTTGTTGCTATTCACAAGTATGATTACTGACCGAACGGTGGGACAAAAAGTCTTGTGACTAATCTGCCAGAACCATTGTCAAGTTGAAGAAACAAAATAGCCATCAGAGAATGCATTCATAAATAACAGTTTACTTTCATTTTAAAAAAAAGATGCACCCAATAGTCTGCTAATAACTATCACGATTTGGAGATCTTTGCCAATAAGTTGAATGAAGCCAAATAGACTGCAATTGCCAATAGTATGCTCTCTCTTAGTGATAAACTGAGTGACATTAAAAGAATGAATTAGCGAAGTGGTTTCATTCCAGAGTTTTTAGTAGCTCTCAAGCTTGTATGTCTCTCACTACTGAGATTTTTGAATTATCTTAAGATTTTTTTTCCTTTTTTTGCGACAAGATTTAAGAGAAAGGTTACAGTTCTATCATAGATTATTCATTAAGAGGTCCCCGTCTAAAACTACCTTAATACTTTAAATGCAGCATAAGCTTGCTGGCCAAAATTGATGTAAGTTAGATCGTCTTCCACACTTCAACCTTTCCATAAAACATTTCTCTTTAAATGTGTTGCCGAATTATAATATTTTCTCGCTATGATGTTTGCATTTTTTTCTCTTCCAGGTTTTCCCAGGAAACTCAGACCGACACAGCGTTGTAAAGCATTTCCTCGCTACTGACGTCATGGCCAGATACGTTCGGTTTTATCCCGTCACCTACCACACTTTTCCTTGTTTGAGAGTTGAAATATTTGTGCGAAAATGATGACATTTAAAAATGTTCTTTCTTTTATGCACAATAAATAAAAAATACTCTACAATGGGAACTTCCGATGCTCAAGCCAAGTCTATCTATATTTAGTGTGAATTGTGGAAAAACCTGATCACCAACAGAGTATGCCAGACACAAAGCTTCGTTTTCCATTTCAACTAAAATGCGAGATAAGGGTCATCAGTTACTATAAGGAATAAAATCTCTCGACGTAGTAACTTCAGAAAAAGTGGATCGCTACCTCACGACTGCATATTGATAGTATTCCTCAGACGAAGAGACGAACCATTATACTTAATAGAAAGAGTGTATAAACCACGATAAAAAACCATTTTACCAGGATTTAATTTATAATTCCCTGGCAACTTGTGGTAGTGCTTCACACCTCAGAAGAAGACTCTTTAGAGTCAGCTTAAGAAATTACGAACATTGCTTACCAAGTAGGCACATACATTTTCCGAACCTCACTTTAAGAATTGCCATTTCAGAAAAGGCGAAAGCAAACTGTGTCGGAAAAAGTAACATAAAAGCGCGCTCCCACATAGTGGTAGTTGATTATCGTTTTTTCCTGCAGAACGTTTGATACGTCCTGAAATTAAAAAAACAACAACAACAACAACAATGTGATTAACATTCTTAACGTAAAGTTCAACGCAAAAATCATCGAACCTTCCTAACCTGCAAAGCAAAATTTCCTACACATAACCGTGGATATAGAGACTATTCCATGGAAAGTGAGCACGAACGATTATTTTTCACGATTTGCAATGCATCAAAAAGACAAACGAGTGAGCGAAACTGACAGTTGGCAACCTACTTTTAGAAATAGTAGTGCATCACACTTAAAACAGAGTCGGTTAAGGAAACAATGTGTACTTTTAGTCAAGTAGGTGTATCATGTTTCCGTATTCAGTTATAAAAATCACTTGTTCCAAGTGAAAACTAAAAGTAGTATTTTCGCGTCACTGAAATTTTAAAAGATGAAATTGAATGGATGATCAAACAGATGAATCTGATGATTTAAAGAAAGACTTTAAAATGAGCTACTAAATAATTGTTTGTGACGAGGATATTCCTTCATCGAGGGAAAGATTATTTGATTCATCATTTTTCCTTCTTAAAATCTTCTACAAATAAACTACACTCACTAAGTAATGTACACTTAGCTTGTATTCCTGTCTCTGAGCCCCACTTCGTGGCCAAACAAAATATTAGCAATCATGTCAAAGTATGTTTATCTTCTATTAAGATCTTTCCCTGGAATAAATTTGCCGTATGAAGCACAATGCTAAAAATCATACAAGCTAACCTTAAGAAAAAATCGAACTACCCTTAGCATCTGACGTAATAGAAAAAGATTTTAGATGAATAAAATTGAAGAAAGGAGGTATTTTTTTATCCTGATGTCTCATTTCATATAACACTTTATTATAGTATAAGATACCCCTATCACATAAGATATTTTATAAAGGGAAGCACTTTAACAAAAACTTGTATGAAAGCCAACTATCAACTAATACTCTATTAAGTCTGATACATTAAAGACAGAAAGAAAAAGAGGAAAAAAATGGAAAGAAAGAATGCGATGCGCGAGGAAATAATTATCATCTAAACTAACATTATCTTACACTACATGTTGTATAATTCAATTTAAGAATCGTTCTCAAATCCGTGCAAAAAGAGTTTTCTTATTTAATTAAATTGGAAGGCGTAGGGTGCTCGGGAAAAAAAAAAGGAAGAAAGAAAACAGCGTACAATACGCGACACTGTAAGTTAAAATTAGCAATAAATACCGCCGCTGCTTTTTGTTTTTTTACGAATTGCTTCGCTCTGTGATTGGTCCAGAAAATTTCGACAGTGACTAACGCCTTTCTCTCAACTAATCAGTTGCAAAACACAAGCCACTCGTATGGTCGCCCGCGCTTTCCTGCGTGTGGGCCTGTTTATTGTACCCTGAGCACTCTTTGATCTGGAGTGGGCCGTTCTCATTACTTTAGTTTTGATTTTGATATTCGAAACTGACTCCACAAACATAAAAACCCATTGGGACTGTTTTACGCTCTGCCAGGCATCCCAAATTATTGAAATTACTACCACAGCGGCTGGCACTGGTTGTATGTGTAATTAATATGAAAGCGATCCTAGCAGTTATGAGCGTTATTTTAGTGGTAGTGAAAATAAGGCCTGAAATAAATTTAGGTCCTTACAGGATTTGAACCATAACCTCTGCGTTACCGTAGAGCGCTGTACCCTGTACCGGTGTCGCAGGGGTCATGGGTTGAAATCCCGTGCGGGCCTGAATATTTTTCAGGTCTTATTTTCACTACTGCTTAAATAGTGTTCGTAACTGCGAGGATTGATTACACATTCGTCTCTTCACCACAGTTTACGTACATGATTTTCATCTATTTACAGTCATGAATGCATTTGTTTTCTTCCTGCGCGTAATGAGTCTTCCGAATTGAGCACTATTCCCATAATTCGAACAAATTAAACCGATAAAATATTCATGATACTGTGGACTTAAAAACACTTTTTGTCCTCCAGCGCTGCAGGGGTATAGAATTTAGATTCGAATCTGGTATGGCAATTGGCCGTGATAACCTTTCATGTCTGAAAATATAATCACCATATATAATTTAGCATCTTTTGAAGCAGTTTTCGTGGGATCACACACATGTTATCGTATCGGCCCATCGAAGAATCATTGTTTAACTTCGCAACCATTTCGAACCAAATAATTATTAAATTTCCAAATTATAGGATGAAATGAAACAAATCAGGCCAGAGCGATCGGGAGTAAAACTGAGCATATTTTGGGCATGTTGAGATGGTGATACTTCGAGCCTGATGCAACTGATGTTTAGAATTATGTTTTAATACTATTGATTTCATATTTTGGCTAGTTAGCGGCACCTAGGTGGGATGATGTTTTGATACTTCCTGAAACTCATTTATCTGCTATCATTGCATTTGAACTTCGGATATTGCATTTCTAGTGTTCTGGTGGGTTCACTGGAAAACGATTCAACCACGTGTTGCTAAGCGTACTTTTCTTTTGGCTGGAAGCAAAAACTTCTCCCGTCTCCGTAAAACAAATACTAGTCAAATGTGAACTTCGTACCAAAACTGAAAGCCACAAAGTACGACATTATTATTGAATGGTACGTACCTTTAAAGTTTCACCTAAAAAATTTGCACTTGACATAAACGTTATGGAATAGGAAAAGTATAATGACGCTACATAAAACAAATTTAACTCTATAGCATTATCGAGAAGTGTAATTTTTTTTGTCAGAGTCAAGCTATCGTGAAAAAATATATATATGTTATTTGCCGGCTAGGAGGTCCGTATGATGAAAATCTCTGACCGAGGTCTTGAAAATGCTGTCCGAGGCCGTAGGCCGAGGGCAGCATTTTCAAGGCCGAGGTCACAGTTTTTCACCACACGGACCGACCCTTAGCCGGTAAATAACATATTTCTTTATTTTTTAACTTAACGAAATACATTCTGAAAGAACCCGAATGATTTAGGGCTATAAATACGGCAAGATCTTACATAAACTGAACAATTTTTGAGCAAGTAAATGGTAGTTAAAGTAGAGGTGATACAAATTAAAGAGAGATGCTTCACTGAAACATTTTCACTTGCGTATTGATAAAGGTGATTTAAAAGGCTTCCAAACAAAGTTTGAAACATTATTTTTACAAGTATCTGTCACAATCTGACACCTGTCAATTAGAGAGCGCGTAAGAAAAAATAAGCGCAAGAAGATTTGAAAAACAACGGAACTAGTTTGGCAAGGTCTGTCACGAAAATGTTTTCTTAAAAAACAGTCAATGATCTAACGGAAAGTATCATTCACTCTTATCGACGATTCATTCAAGTACGAAGATTTACCTCTGTTCATTAAGTAAACGGCCAGGAAAATAATTGTGAGTAAATTCAAATTTTTAATTTTGAAGTTGTGAGAGTTTGCTCGTTTGTTTGCTGCAACGGCGTGTGTAAATCTGGTCTTTCCTCCACAAAAACTAAATTCGAACGGCACACTCCCACGAGACACAAGGGGATTTAAAGCGGCTTTTTCTTCCTTCTTCCTTCTTCCTTTTCTTCCTTCAGTTTCTGTTGTGCAATTTATAGTCCAAATGTCCAAATTGAACGGACTTGGAAAAACTCACCGAGAGCGTATATTTATTGTCGAACTGAAATTAAAACTTCGCTCGCTCTTTCACTACGAACAAATTGTTTGAGAAAATTCAGATATTAAATGAATGAAAGTTCCATTGTTCAGTTTACCTGTAACCAAATACCTCACGTTTTAACTTTCTAGGTACTTTTTGTGAATGATTAAAATCAATTGCAGACGGTTTTTAGGCCGCTTGTCAACCAACATAATGACACTATTGCTTATAAATTCATTCTGAAACCAATATTTTTTTTGTCAACCAAAGTGATTTGAGAGAGAGAAAAGAGAGGATTCAAAAGTCGGCTTGAGGCAGTGACCGGTGTGCTTGCTTAAAATTACTTCCCAGCCGGCAAAACAAGGTATATTTATGAAAAATGGCAACGAAAGTTGAAATGTACTCGGCGACTCACGAAAGCGTTACCGTGGCCCGTGGGCAGAGATAGGAAAATACTGACCGGGTAAAGAACCAATCAGATTGCAGGATTCGTTACCGTGCCCTCTAAAAAAAAAATACAAATTAACATATACATAAAATATACATTTTGATCATTTTTGAAAGTTCCTTGTCATTCTTAGTCATGTCTCGACGAATTTATGAATGGTTTGTAAAGTTATAGAGGTTTCTGAACTGTAAGTTCGAGCACGCCTACAGCTGTTATTGTTATCTCTCGATAACGATCAACAGAACTGTATATTGCAGACATTAAGTCTGAGCAACAGATCCCACTGATTCCATACGACTAAATTTTCTTTCAGTTCTTTTTATTTGTTTCTTCAACAAAAACATGATAAGATCGCGCTGCAATACCCATTATTTCTTGGCGCAGGGTGAAGGTGACAATGTATGTTACATGCGTACCATCACCGTGATCTTCAGAACTGTTATATTGATTTGTAAATTTCTATCAATAAGCTAATTCTTACATTATCTCAAATACCCTTACGTGCTCGTCTTTTGGGAGCAAGTACATCTTTTATTGTGATGTTTTTTATCATAACTTATAACATTTCCATCTGTTTACAAACCAGTCAGAGAAAGCACTTTTCCAATTATATGGCGTTACATCAAATCACCATCTTGGATCCCATATATTGTATATATTGTATTACGTGGTACAAATTACTCTCTCTTTTATTGGTTGTGTATCATTGTGCACCCCTTCTGTCCTACTTGTGATATATAAATATTGCAAAATGTTAAGTACATTAGCCAGAAGGCTCGATTTAATTTAATTAAGTATTGATTAGTTTAATTATTTCAGAATGATCCTAGATACGAACATAGTTACAATGTTTATCTTTTGTTTATATTTCTATTGGTTTTGTAATCGGACCTTTCAGCGTCACCACGCGAATTTAAAAGCGAATTTAGCGTCCCCATAATCGTAGGTTTTTGAGCACTCTGTCTGAACTTTGGTCTTTTCGTTTCTTAAACCTTTGGCACAGGCTGGACCGATATGTGAGTAACTTGGTAACTTTGTTTTTCTAAGTTTAGTTTTCCAGCATTGGGCGAAAGTATACAAACAGATATTTTGTTGTATTGACGTATTTTCAGTTGAATCGAAATCTAAAGGCCAAAATCGTTTCAGATGCAAGTGAACGCCCACCATTTAGATAAGAACGATAGGCTGCTCACCAGCCACCAAATTCTTGTTGTTTCTTGTCATTTTAAACTCTTTACCGGCGTTAAGGCTCAGCTTTTTTACACGCGATTTTTGATTGTGCATTTCGCAACATTTCATCAGATTGATAGAACTTCGTTGCATTATTGTTTTTGTTTACGATCGATTGATCGTGATTTTGAACGTTGATTGTGGTTCGTGGATTGCTTGCAAGATTAAAGATTCGTGTAAACGGTCAACTTTGGTCTGTTATATTTCAGTCTCGATCTGTAAAATAGCCCCCAAACACCTCCTCAATCGCGTCTTGGAGCGACACTGCTTGGAATCTTATGAATTACATTTTTGGTCGCCGGATGCGCTACACAAGATTTTCGTTCACAATTTCAAAGGTATTTTTGATGAAATAAGGGTCATAACTTTATTCTAAGAAAAACATTTCAAATGATAGGTACCCAAGACCATGAAATTTATCTTTAAATAGTCTTGGGGTAGCCTTGTGTTACTAACTTTCATTCTAGCATATATTTTGAAGTACTTACAGTGGCGCAAAATGGCTTCGTTTTCCAAATACGCATTCTTTGTCAGGATCAACATCACATCACAAAGAAAAACAACTAAGAATGACCAAATTCGACTACTTCCAATTGCAGAGAACAATCATGCACGTGGGTTTTTATGTTTAGATAGTTTTGATGGGACAGAGGAAGTTTCACGTTACTGAATTATTTTCAAATACATACGCTATAGTTTCCATAGCTTGCTATACAAAATATTTTTTTCAAACGAAAACTAAAACTAGTATTTTCCCGTCACCGGAAGTGTAAATGATGAAACTGAGCAAATAACCAAAGTGATGAACCTGACGATTTAAAAAAGGACTTTAAAATGAACTACTAAATAATTGTTTGTTATAAGGATATTCTTTCATCGAGGAAAAGATATTTTGATCCATCATTTTTCCTACTTAGAATCTTCTACAAGCAGTCAAAAATTTATTTTTTACAGAGTTCCTCGTCTTTTCCGCAAACTGATCGCCAGCAAGAAAGACTGCAAAAGGAGAGGGTGGAGAGGCGAATTTTAAAGTGAAATAAAAAGGTTTTTCTTCGACTGCTCAAGTGGGAATTTTCTCCAAAAAAAATATTAGACATGTTGATAATTACTATAATATTTTTTTCCCCGAAATTTCGAAGTTGTAAGTCTGTCCTGGCTAAATGTTATGCAAGATAATCTATCGCAAGTTTACTAAGCAGGTTTTTATTTAGATATTTGTTTGTTGGCATTATAATCATTTGGACTTCACCAGCTGTGCCATTCTCCTTTCAGATTTTCAAACACTCCTCCCAATTAAATCCAACATTTTTTTCCATGAGAACGCCCGCCTTCTTCTCCGCAGGTATCACAGATCTGTGGTGCTTCATATGGCTAGTCTACAGGCTTCATTTTTTACCGAACTGTTTTTCATTTCTCAAATGTTCCTTAACATTGCCACTCAGCAGTGTGGAACTGGTGGCGACCTATACTCGATTTATCAAATGATGCTTAAGGGTCACACCTATAAGACGTTCAAGTTTACACCAGGTACGCTGGAATGCAGAGAGGCTTGCCTCGCTGATGACAGGTGTCAAAGCTATAATGTGGTCATGTTCATTGCAATATGTGAGTTAAACAACCGGACTAAAGAAGCCAGACCAGAGGACTTTGTCAAGGACGAAAACAGATATTATATGGCAAAAGGTCCAGAACGAGGTAATAGAATTTGCAAATATAGAATAGTAGGGTGTAGTTATGTTTACGGATTTTGCGCGACGAGCCTCTGATTTTTCTAACTTTTATCCAGCCAAAGTAAAATTTCAATTTCGGTTCCCTTGGGATCAATCTTTGAGCTGCCTGCTGAATCATGGGAGGAAATCGAGGCGAGTGAAGGAAGACAGGCAGTTAAAGGTAATTATTGGCTGGATTTTACAAGATCTGGGAACTCGTTGCGAAATAAAGACAAAATGTTAGAACAAGAATTATTCCATGGATATTTCTCTCATAATCTCTTAATCAGCCTTCTTTCTTACTAGTTGCGGACTATTGTGTCAAGCACCTAAGTCAAAACGGTGCAAAGTGCGTGAACCGTGAAATCAACCACTTGTGTGCGTGTAACTCATCTATTTGCACAGGGAAATATTGTGAAAAAGGTTTTTCTTTTGTTGAAATAGTTTCTGACCTCTGATGGGATCGGCCATGATCTCCTTGTCATCACAAAGAACATCACTAATTAAGAAGTTTGGTTTTTGAGCGGTCAAAAAAATTGTGGAAGGCTATATATCACACAACGTTTTCGATGAGCATTAATCCAGCAAATGCTAATAACTTCGTCATTTTAAATCGTTACGAACCGAAATTTTCACATAATGCAAATACTAGTAATGAATTTTGTCCATGGAATGCGGTCACGTGGTTCGTGCGCAACAAGAGTGAATTTCATGGACTACCTCCTACAATTAGCTCCACTCGTTTCACTTTTTGTGATATCGGCACAGGAATGTCTTACGTTTATGAAGGTAGGAACGGGGTGGATGTACCATAAACCAATTGGAGATCGGCCACTGTGTTTGGTGGATAAATGAATAGAAAGAACGTCAAAACGACGGGAAAGTAGCATTTTTTCTTTAAAAACTGAGTTTCTCACGCATGGTATTTTTAGAAATTAATCAAGTCACGGTATTTTTTCTTATCTAACTCGAACGTAAGGTCAAAGAGCTACCTGGCTATGGTTTTTACGAGGGGAGAGTATACTTTTGGCGTAAAATACAACAATGTCGTACCATCGAATTTTTGGCATCAATCGCCTCTAAAAGGATCAGCCATGATTTCCTCGTGTCATGAGGATCATCATTAATTTGGATGATTGGTTTTGGACCGTTTTTCTCCCAAACTCAAATTTTATTGAGAAAAAAATGCCGAAATAAACCAACTGCAAACAGTTTCGTCAAAACTGAAATTTTCACGAATTTTATGTAAACTCTTTATATAGAGTATATATATAAAGGAAATGTCCACAGACAAGAGGTAACCATTGTACTTTCTTGGTAAATGAATCAAAAGGATGACAAGACGAAAGGGATAAGGCCCTTTTGCCTCACAACGTGGAGTCTGTAAACCATGTTTTTCAACCACTGCAGCTTGATCCGCGCTAAAAGTCCACACTATTCAAATCATATTGTTCTTCATTGGGAAGCAAAGAAATCAATGTAGATTAATATAAGCCTTACTTCTGATTCATTTTACTATTGTCTAGAATGTGGGCCTGTTGGTGTGGGAGACATCAATACAATCTCAGATGCCAGAATGACAGCAAGCACAGTCTATCGTACAAGAGTTTCTCCGTACTATGGCCGACTCCATGCAAACAGGGGATATGGAGGATGGTGTCCCAGTACTATAGATAGAACAGAATATCTTCAAGTTGATATGGGTGCAATGTTGTCTGTTTGTGCTGTGGCCACCCAAGGGCAAAAGATGTTCGATTTTTGGACTACCAGCTACAAACTGCAACTATCCACAGACGGTGTAACCTGGAACGCTTACGAGGAAACCAGCACTGCAAAGGTTTGATCGGCAACTGTTAGTAATGATTATAGGACCGCGAAGAGTCCAACTCAGCGAGTTACAAAAGCAACTTAAAAAATTGCGCCACTGCAAACAAGAGCGTGTTTGTTGCTATTCACAAGTATGATTACTTACTTATTACAGTCTGCTGATAACTGTCACGATTTGGAGATCTTTGCCAATATGTTAAATAAAGACAAATAGACTGCAGTTTCCAATAGTACGCTCTCTCTCAGTGATAAACTGAGGATTGACGTTAAAAGAATAAAATAGCGAAGTGGTTTCATTCCAGACTTTTAGCCAGCTCGCGAGCTTGTATGTCTTTCACAATGAAGCTTTCAGGCATATTTGTTTTCTTCATTGCGGCAAGATTTACGAGAAAGGTTACAGTTCTCTGATAGATGATTCCTAAAGAGGTCCCCGTCTAAAGGTAACTTAGAATGCAGCATAAGTTTCCTGGCCAGCAGTGATGTAAGTTAGATCGTCTTCCACACCTCAACCTTTCCATAAAACATTTCCCTTTAAACTTGGATTATCACATCATTGCCGAATTACACTATTTTCTCGTAATAAAGTATACGTTTTTCCTCTTCCAGGTTTTTCCAGGAAACTCAGACCGACACAGCGTCGTAAAACTTTTCCTCAATACTAACGTCACGGCCAGATACGTTCGGTTTTATCCCGTCACCTACCACAGGTTTCCATGTTTGAGAGTTGAAGTATTTGTGCGAAAATGATGGCAATGAAGAATTATCTTTCTTTTATGCACAAATTAAATGTAGATAAAAACTACTTTACAATGGGAACTTTTGATGTCCAAGCCAAGCCTATCAATATTCAGTGTGAATTTTGGAAATCCTAATCATCAACAGAATATGCTAGAAACAAAGCCTTGTTTTCCATCTAAACTAAAATGCGAGATAAGAGTCATGAGATACCATAAGAAATAAGATCGTTTGTCTCGCGACGTAGTAATATTAGAACAAGTGGATCGCGACTTCACGACTACATATTGATAGTCTTTCTTAGGCGATGAGTCAAACGATTATACTTCACAGAAAAAGTGATTAAACCACGGTGACAAGCCATAACATATTTAACGACATTTACAGGGTGATGAGATGAGGTCTGGCAAGGATCAAAGATCCAAATTACTTCATTTTGTCAAAAAATATCTGATGCACGTATGCTTTTCTATCACGAAATATTTGCAAGTGAGAAGATTTGTCTTCTGATCATCGTCTGGATTTTTAAGTCGTAGCTATATGTACGAGTAGAATGTTGACAGAAAATGTAAAATAAAAGAGACACGTTAGCCACATGTAGGTGATTTGAGGTATAGTCTGCTCCTCAAAAATTGACTTGTCTTCGATGCGTATTTTGCAGAACTATTGAATTTGCTTATATAACTGATTGTCAGTGTAATGCTAATACAAAACCTTCGGGAGGTACAGCTGTATACAGCTGAATCCAAATAATCATTTGTGGTCATACTTATTGTTTTGTAATTGATTAACTTTTTCGATGCAGAAACTTATTATCTTCTCAAAGGACTTGGCTTTGTCAATCAATACATAAACTGTACAAAGTAAGCAAAGTTCACTTAGCTTGTTATCCCGTCTCTGAGCCCCTCCCTCGTAGCCAAACAAAATATTAGCATATCATGTCAAAGTATGTTTATTTTCTTTTAAGATCTTTTCCTGGAATAACTTTGCTGCATGAAGCACAGTACTAAATATCACACAAGCTAGATTTCAAAAAACATTGAACTTCCCTTAACATCTGACGTAATAGAAAAAGACGATTTTAGATGAATAAAATCGAAGAAAGGAGGTATCTTTTTCTTTCTTAGACTGATGTCCCATTTCGATTAACACTTGAGTATGATATAAGATACCCTTATCAAATAAGTCCTTGTATAAGGGGAAGCACTCTATAAGAAACTTGAATGAAAGTCAACTACCAACTAATACTCTATTAAGTCTGGTGCACTAAAGAAAATCAAAGTGCTCTGTAAGCAAACTCGTGAATTAACATATGATTTTTTAGATTATGTTTAATGTTATCTGGTTTAGGGAATTTTGTGGTTGATTGTCATATCTAGAGTACGAGCAGTAGTTCAGTGTTCGCTAATGTAGCAAAGAAACAAAGTAACGTTGGGATAAGAAGGCATTACAATTGAAATGATCATGCTATTACATTTGACAAGGGTGGATGATGTCATGTGTTTTAAACGTCTTTCATTTTTGTTTCTGGTTCAAAAGAAAAGGTTGGAAGTAAATGTGGGTGAAAAGTGAAATTTACTATCTTCCATTGTAAATATTAGAAAATCAAGGCAATATTGTCTAATGAGAAAAAAGGGGACGAGTTTTGAGTGATATAACTAAGCCAAGCCTGCAACCGTCATTTTGGATCTCCGCCTGGGTAGATTTAAGTCACGTGCTAGGCAACGTATAATCAATAACAAGATAGAATTTCATTTCAGGCCTATTTATCAATTTTGTGGTGTGTAACTTTCGCATTTTAGTACGTTGTATGTATGTTGAATCTTCAAATTGTCTTGAAACTTAAAAGAAAATTGTTCTTTAAAAATTCACTGAAAATCGGTAGCTAAAATTGTTTGTTTAGGTGTTATTTGATTTTCGTGTTAACTTGTAATTTCGTCAGTCGTCGGCATCTTTTGTTGCTTCACACAGGAAAAATACACGCGACGAAACGTAATGATCAATTTTGTCCTCAATCTCACGCCATAACAGAAACAGCTTTTGAACATCTGTAAACTCCGAGCGCTTCGCAGTAAGTGATATTTTCAATGAATCTTCGGATTGTTTTCAAGTTCAAGGACTATAAATTAAATTATGAAAAACGAAGGTTGTTCTGTTATTTGGTGTGAATCCTTGCATGCCTGCCAGTCGCTGGCGCCGCTTGTTGAAACTAAAACGAAAAAAAAACTCTTTTAAGATTATCATTGGCTTCTTTTTCACCCCACCACTATTCTTAGAAACAAAGGTCGCCATTTCGTCTGTTTATTGCTCGCCAAAAACTATCAAATGCACTCAAAAGCCTAAAATCGAAAAAAAGGTTTACAGGAATCGACCAATCTAGCGAGCGAGCGAGCGAATGCCATTCCCCACATCGTATCTATAACTCGATCTTGCGCATGCGCGCAATTCACGAGTTAAAAAGGAAAAGAGGAAAAAAGAGCAAGAAAGAAATAATGCGTTGCACGAGAAAATAAATATCATCTACATCAACATTACCTTAAACTACAACTTCTGTGATCCAATTTAAGACTCGTCCTCAAATTCGCGCGAAAAGGGTTTTCTTAGCTAGTAAATTTGGAACGCGTTGTGTGCTCTGGAAAAAAAGGAAGAAACAAAACAATGTCGAATACGCGACACCATTAGTTAAAATTAACAATTAATTCCAACATTGTTTTTTGTTCCTTGAAGAATTTCTTCGCTCTGTGATTGGTCCAGAAAATTCCGACAGTGACTCACGCCATTCTCTCAAACAATCAGATGTAAAACACAAACCAATCGCATGGTCGCCCGCGTTTTCCCGCGTGTGAGCCTGCTCGTTGTGCTCTGAGTACTGTTTGGTCTCTATGGCTGGAATGGGCCGTTCTCATTACTTTGGTTTTGATTTTACAATACTCGATCGTATAGCGCTTTACTATTATACAAAGAGTCGAGCATCTGATGACGAACAAGATGAAAGCCCAGACTCTGGCGAGAATGAACCATTACTAAGAAGCCGAGTCAATAAATCAGAATCTTACACAGGAGTTATATGAAAATATGACTCTGAATTAACAAAAAGTGGACATTCCTCAGTCTCTCGGGCAAAGAAGCTCCGAAAACCAGTGATTTGTTGACCAGAAAACCACTTCCTCCTCCCCTCCCTCTTCTCCTCGTTTTCCCCTCCCTTGTCCCGGTCCGGGTTGGATACGCGGGTGGGACTCAGACTCAGTAATGTTAACCTTAAATAAATATTTCTTTGATTGAATTAATTAAAATCATATCTCATGACTGTCTTGTCATGTTGGATCACACAACTCGGACATTTGCTATTTGTCACAAAAGTGAAACTGATTCCTCAAGCATAACAACCGATTGGGTTGTTTCACGTTCTTCCAGGCATTCCAAACGTTTGGCATTAACTGTTTGCGTATGTAAGATGGAAATGGTACTCGCAGTTACGAACACTACTTAGGTGGTAATGAAAATAAGGGCTGAAAAAAATTCAGGCCCGCACGGAATTTGAGCCCATGACCTCTGCGATACCGGTTCAGCGCTCTATGGTATCGCAGAGGTTATATATTATCAAATCCCGTACGGGCCTGAATTTTTTACAGGCCTTTCATTCACTGCCACTTAAGTAGTGTTCATAACTGCGAGGATCGCTTCCATATTCCTTTCTTCAACTTTTGCTCACATAATTATATGATTTTCATATCTTTATAGTCATGTATGCGTATGTTTTCAACCAAGAAAATATTCATGATACATGAAGTAAAAACACTTTTTCTCCTTCGACGCTGAAGGTATGACAGTTGGCCACGATAACCTTACGTGTTTCAAAATATAACCACCATATATAACGTAGCATCTTCTGAAATAATTTTCGCGGAATCACATGCATGTTCGTATCATTGTATCGGCCAATCAAAAAATCATTGTTTAAATTCGCAACCAATTCGAACCAACTAATTATTGTCACAAAATACTCTTTCTTTGATTGGTTGTGTATCATAGTGCACCCCTTATATCCTACAAGTGATACATAAATATTGCAAGATTTTCGTTCACAATCTCATAGAAAGTATTTTATTTGTGAAATAAGGATCATAACTTTGTTCTAGGAAAAACATTCCGAAAACTAAGTACCCAAGACCATGAAATTTATCCTTAAATAGTTTTGGGGTAGCATTGTTATACTAACTTTTATTCTAGCACTAGGCGCAATATGAATTGGTTTCCCAAATACGCATTCTTTTTCTGGGTCAATATAACTACACAATGAAAAGCAATTAAAATTGACCAACGGAAATTCGACAACTTCCAATGGTAGAGAACAAGCCTGCACGGGGGTTTTTATGGTTAAATAGTTTTGATGGGACTGCGGAAGTTTCATATTACTGAATTATTTCAAATACATACACTCTATTAAGCAGCGACTGACCTCCGCTCATTTAAAATGCGAGTGTCCTGAGGCTAATATTTTTTTCCTGTGAAAACATAATTTCAAAGAGTCTCTCGCGACTATCGTTTTAAATATTTATCAACAGTTCTGAGCTCACCACAAAAAAAAAAGAAGATTGAACGGAGTCAGTTAAAGAAACAACGTGTACTTTTAACCAGGTAGGTCTATTACGTTTCCGTGGTTTGTTGTAATTTTTTTTTTCAAATAAAAACTAAAAGTCACCGAAATTGTTAATAATGAAATTGAGCAAATGACCAAAGTGATAAACCTAGCGATTTAACAAAGGACAAAATGAACAATTAAATAATTGTGTGTTACGAGGATATTCTTTCATCGAGGGAAAGATTATTGGACTCAATTTTTCCTTCTTAAATTCTTCCACAAACAGTCGAAATTTATTTTTCACAGAATTCCCCGTCTTTCCCGCAAACTGATTGCCATCAAGAAAGCATGCAAAAGGAGAGGGTGGAGGGGCGGATTTTAAAGCGAAAACAGATCGATTTTCTTCGGCCACTCAAGTGGGAATTTTCTCAAAAAAAAGTATTGGACAGGTTGATAATCATTATTATGATTTTTTTTTTTGCGAATATTCCGGTTGGACAGGAGTATATTGTGAGAAAGGTTTTTCTTTGGTTGAAATAGTTTCTGACTTCTGAGGGGATCGACCATGATCTCCTTGTCATCAAAAAGATCATCGCTAATTGAGAAGTTTGGTTTTTGAGGGGTCAAAATAAAATCTTGGAAGGTTATATATCAAGCAACGTTTTCGAGCTCACAAAGCTCAACCTTGAGCTTGAAATTGCCTAAATCCATCAAATTCTACTAGCTTCGTCATTTTAAATCGTTGCCAACTGAAATATGGTCACGTAGTTCGCGCGTTACAAGAGCAAATATCGGCCCAGTAATGACTAAATTTGTGAGGTTAGGAACGGGGTGGATGTACCATACACAAATGGAGATTGACCATTATGTTTGGTGTATGAATGAATAGAATGGACGTCAAAACGACTTGAGAGTCTCTTTTTTTTCTTTAAAAACTTTGAGTTTCTGACGCAGGGTATTTTTTGGAAATTAATCAAGTCATGGCATTTTTTTTCTTGTAACTCGAATGTTAGGTCAAAGAGCTACCTGGCTATGGTTTTTAAGAGGGGAGAGTGTACTTTTGGCGTAAAATACAACAGTCGTACAATCGGATTTTTGGCATCAATCGCCTCTCAAAGGATCACCCTGATTTCCTCGTAATCACGAGCATCATCATTAATTTGGAAGATTGGTTTTCGACCGTTTTTCTAACTTCCAAGCTCATTATTGATTTTGAAAAAAATACCGAAATATACCAAATGGGTGGACGTAGAATTCAGCAAGAGGTAACCATTGTGCTTGCTTGGTAAATGAATCCAAAGGAGGCCAAGACGAAGGGGTTAACGCCATTTTGCCTCACAACGTGGAGTTTGTAAACCATGTTTTTCAACCATTACAGCTTGATCCGCGCTTAAAAAATGTTTTACGTTGGGAAGCAAAGAAATAAAATGTAGGTAAATATAAGTCTTATTGTTTGATTCCTTTTACTTTATCTAGAATGTGGGCCTGTTGGTGTGACAGACGAAAATGCAATCTCAGATGCCAGAATGACAGCAAGCACAGTCTTTGATACAAGATTTTATCCGTTCTATGGCCGACTCCATGAAAACAGGGTATATGGAGGATGGTGTCCCGAGACTGTAACTGACAGAACAGACTATCTTCAAGTCGGTATGGGTGCAATGCTGTCTGTTTGTACTGTGGCCACCCAAGGAGAAAATATAAACAATGAAAAGACCACCAGCTGCAACTATCCACAGACGGTGAAACCTGGAACGTTTATGAGGAAACCAGCACTGCAAAGGTTTGATCAGCAACTATTAGTAATGATTAGAGGACCACAAAGAGTCCAATTCAGGGGGTTACAAAAGCGAATTTCAAAATTTGCCTCACAATGTGAAGTTTGTAAACCATGTTTTTCAACCATTGCAGCTCGATCCGCGCTCAAAGTCCACACTATTCAAATCATATTGTTCTACATTGGGAAGCAAAGAAATAAATGTAGGTAAATATAAGCCTTACCGTTAATTCATTTCAATTTTATCTAGAATGTGGGCCTCTTGGTGTGGCAGACAGAAATGCAATCTCAGATGCCAGAATAACAGCAAGCACAGTCTATAATGCAAGATTTTATCCGTACTATGGCCGACTCCATGAAAAACAGGGGATATGGAGGATGATGTCCCAGGACTGTAATTGACAGAACAGGCTATCTTCAAGTCGATATGGGTGCAATGCTATCTGTTTGTGCAGTGGCCACCCAAGGAGAAAAGATAAACAATGAATGGACTACCAACTACAAACTGTAACTATCCGCAGACGGTGTAACCTGGAACGCTTACGAGGAAACCAGCACTGCAAAGGTTTGATCGGCAACTGTTATTAACGATTATAGGACCATAAAGAGTCCAATTCAGTGGGTTACAAAAGCGACTTTCAAAATTCCACCACTGCAGGCAAGAGTGTGATTTGTTGCTATTCACAAGTACGATTACTGACCGAAGGTGGGACAAAAAGTCTTGTGACCAATCTGCCAAAACCATTGTCAAGTTGAAGAAACCAACTAGCCATCAGAGAATGCATTCATAAATAACAGTTTACTAATTTAAAAAAAAAAGATGGACCCAATAGTCTGCTGATAACTATCACGATTTGGAGATCTTTGCCAATATGTTGAATGAAGCCAAATAGACTGCAATTGCCAATAGTATGCTCTCTCTCAGCGATAAACTGAGGAGTGACGTTAAAAGATTGAAGTTGCGAAGTAGTTTCATTCCAGAGATTTTTTGAGCAGCTCTCAAGCTTGTATGTCTTTCACTATTGAGTTTTTGGAATTATCGTAAGTTTTTTTATTGAAACAAGATGAGAAAGGCTATAGTTCTATCATAGATTATTCATTAGGAGGTCCCCGTCTAAAACTACCTTGATACTTTAAATACAGCATAAGTTTGATGTAAGTTAGATCGACTTCCACACTTCAACCTTTCCATAAAACATTTCCCTTTAAATGTGTTGCCGAATTATAATATTTTCTCGCTATGATGTTTGCATTTTTTCCTCTTCCAGGTTTTCTCAGGAAACTCAGACCGACGCAGCGTTGTAAAGCATTTCCTCATTACTGACGTCATGGCCCGATACATTCGGTTTTATCCCGTCACCTACCACAATTTTCCTTGTTTGAGAGTTGAAATATTTGTGCGAAAATGATGACATTTGAAAATGTTCTTTCTTTTATGCACAAATTAAAGGTAGATAAAAAAAATACTACACAATGGGAACTTTCGATGCTCAAGCCAATTCTATCGATATTTAGTGGGAACTGTGGAAAAACCTGATCACCAACAGAGTATGCCAGACACAAAGCCTTGTTTTCCATTTAAACTAAAATGCAAGATAAGGGTCATCAGTTACTATAAGAAATAAAATCTCTCGACGGAGTAACTTCAGAAAAAGTGGATCGCTACCTCACGACTGCATATTGATAATCTTCCTCAGGCGAGGACAGGAACTATTATACTTAATAGAAAGAGTGTATAAACCACGATAACAAACCATAACCACCCTAACGACATTTACAAGCACATGAGATGAGGTCTAGCAAGGATCAAAGATCTGATTTACTTCATTTTGTTAAGAAATAACTGTGCTTTTCTATCACGAAATATTTGCAGGTGTGAAGATTTGTCTTCAGATCATCGTCTAGAATTTTTAAGTCATAGCTATACGTAAAAGTAGAATGATTAAAGAAAATATAAAATAATAGAGACACGTTAATCACCATTTGTTACATGTAGGTGATATGCGGTATAGCCTGCTCTTCGAAAGTCCATTTGTTTCGATGCGTATTTTGTAGAACTATTGAATTTACTCTTATAAATGGTTGTCAATCTAATGCCAATAAAAAAACCTCTCGGAGGTACAGCTGTAGACAGCCGAATCCAAATCATTTGTGGTCATATTTGTTGTTTCGTAAGGAATGGGCTATTGATGTATTGTTTTGGTAGAGAAACTTTTTATCTTCTCAAAGAACTTGGCTTTGTCAATCAATACATTAACTATACAAAGTAAGCAATGTTCACTTAGCCTGTATTCCTGTCTCTGAGCTCCTCCGTCGTAGCTAAACAAATCATTAGCAATCATATCAAAGTATCATGATTTATCTTCTATTAAGATCTTTCCCTACAATAACTTTGCAGCATGAAGCCCGAGCTATAAATCATACAAGCTAAATTTACAAATAACAATCGAACTACCCCTAACATCTGACGTAATAGAAAGAAACAATTTTAGATTAGTGAAATCGAAGAAAGGAAGTGTCTTTTTTTATCCTGATGTCTCATTTCAAATAATACTTGAGTATAGCATAAGATACTCCGATCACACAAGTCCTTACATAAAGGGAAGCACTTTATCAAAAACTTGAATGAAAGCCAACTTTTAACTAATAGTCTATTAATTCTGGTACACTAAAGAAAGAAAGAAAAAGAGGGAAAAAAGAAAGAAGGGAATTTTAACTAACAATGTCGCGTATTGTACGTTGTTTTCTTTCTTCCCCTTTTTTTTTCCCGAGCACACTTCGCGTTGCAATTTAATTAAATAAGAAAACCCCTTTTGCACGGATTTGAGAACGAGTCTCAAGTTGGATTACACAAGTTGTAATGTAAGGTAATGTTAAGTTAGATGATAGTCATCTCCTCGTGCATTGCATTCTTTCTTTCCCTTTTTTTTCGGCATTTAAAAGAAATCTAATGATTTTCTTGGTCTTCAAGACCATGCCAAGACGTTCGGGCTAGAGTCACTTCACCTCCAACTCTACCAAGTGGTGAAACTCAGCTCGATCTGAAATTAGCCTTCCTTTTTGGCTCTGATAGTGAATGTGAGCGAGCAAAAGTGTTTTAGAACGTCGCCGGAAGTTGATTTTGAATTTCTGAATTAACTGAAATTAGATTTTATCATTTCTGTTAAGAGCAACGAAAAAAAGTTGATGCTTGCCATAAAATGGCCAAAATTTTAACCATGAACCATAAAAGCAATCACCCAACTGAGACCCACTCAAAGTGGCAGGTGTTTTAAGATGTGCAAGAACAGGAAGACATTTGGCTTAGGTCCCGCGAAGTCATATTCCGCTAGCCAATACTATCTTCATTTCGCGTAAGAACCGAGATGACAGACGGCTAACAATTTCTAAGCTCCTAAGTTTCTTTAGTTAGTGTGTGAGTGATGGCTCTCATACATTTTCATGACGAGCTGAGAAAGGGAAGCCAATTGTAAGATATAGCGAAAGAATTAGAACACCGCCTTAACTTAACAGAAATCTGATCTATTTCCTCGCCACGAAGTTCGAGGTAGAATCTTTGACCTGAAACTCTACCGGCTTGTGCTCACAAATACCGCCTCTTGGAACTACCGCCAGTTTAAATCATGGATCTACCTCCAAAAAGAACACGGCCAATATCTAGCTAGCTTAACCTGGTTTTTTGTTTTTAATGAAGTGTTTATTACTCGTCCTCCGATAGCCAGAGGTAAATGATCAAGATGACACGATATTTTCCTTTATTTAGCTTCAAAACGGCTGGTGTTGAGTCTTTTCCCGAATACAAATTAAACGTTGCTATTATTTAGAATTTCGTTGGTAGCGTGCACATATTAAGTCACCATCTTTAGCTACGTTTATTGTTTTTCTTCCCTATCCAGAACAATATGAAATGACTAGTAAAGACTTTGAGTGCGGATCATCCTGAGATGGTTGAAAAGGATGAGAATACTAAAAGTTACTAACAAGAAGCGTAAGATCCATGAACGTTCGGTGACCCATACCATTTCTTTACGTCATATGAAGAATATCAGATCTATGACACCTGCGAAAATATGGTGAGCAGCGTCGAGGCAGACTTGCACTTTTGACGTTCCATGCAAAATTAAGGACAAAAGAGAAACAATCGTCCACTCCAATGTTTCTGAGAAGAAAATTTCTTCATGGGTGAAAAAAAAAAAAAAAACCAAACGTTGTCGGTTTGGACTCCGTCCCTCCCCTCTCTACTCTTGAAATCTTCTTTCACTAGCTGCCAGTTTACGAGAAGAGAGACTGATGTGGTGACTCCATTTCCCTAACTTTTTACTGCTTGCATGGGATATCAAGAAGATAGAATTATTAATCAAATAGGCTTTGATTAATTGATACTCCAACAGGAGTATCATGGAATTACATTTTAAACTGCAGCAAGAAACTAAAATAGTAGTTAGTACTGGGGTCGAGAGCTTTCACCAGAATATTTTGAAGAAATACTCAAGAAAATTCCTCAAATTATTTTGAGGTTGTTACTTTTTATGGCCATATATTTCATCAAAACAGAGAGAAAAAACACATAATGCCTATGTTGTCCATCAAGTTCAGTCTTTTACATCTGTATTTTAAAAGCTGAAGTTGGAAAAACCTAAAGAGGATTCATAAGTCGATTAATTATTCTTGACACACGACAACGGGATACTTTATATTATCATACATTAGACGTACTATGAAAATCTGATTGGTCGAAAGTATTCATCAACATACATTAGCGTGTGAAATTGACATGGTATAACATGAGAGATAAAAAAAAATGAAATAAAAAAAACAAAACAAAACAAAACACCTCTATGATGTTGTGAAATAGTGGGAAATTGACGAGATTTGCTTGAGAAAACATCTAAACGCCCATCCACCCTTGTAACACAGTTGAAACAACTTTGAAGCTATTTACCAGTCAAGAAGCCATAAAACACGCAGATATAAAAAGAAAGTAATTATTACAGATTACTTAACTACATCATAAGCTGCATAGGGTTCTTTGTATCGTGTATTATGATGGTATTGGAAGATGCTTAGGGGGCAGTTATAGATGTGTTACGATTATTTATTCAGACTTTCCATAGTTACGGTAGTAACAATACAATTATGCAATCGATTTTAAATCCAGCTTTTAGTGCCTGCTCCTGAAAAGTTGTATGATAACCATCTTCATCTCTAGCTGAGCTACAAGTTACATATAAAAAATTATTTTTCGACCACTTTTCAAAAATTTCAAACAGTGAGCAGCCCTTAAACTGGTAAAATATTGATTTCGTTTCTCTTCTTTTTTTTCTCATAGTTACAGAGGGCTGAATCATTTGTTTCAAATTACATTTGCTCTGGTTTTTAGCGAAGAAATTTCTTTTATTATTTTACTCTACATGTTTTATTTTCACAAACTTCTAGACGTTTATGTTCCAATACAAAAGCTGACACCATGGGGTTAAAGCAAACAATGATAATCACTATGGGGTCTCACGT